ACGGTTAAACATAATATGTGGATCAAAATGAAAATATAGAAACATTATAAAACCATGATAGACAATGTAAAAATGCAAAAATATGTGATGAAGAGAAATTTATTAGGAAAAAGTATAGATATTAACTGAAAAACGATAATAGTTATGGAACAAGTTATTATATAAAAAAATATAACCTAACATATATAAGCATATATACGCAAAACAATAAATGTATATATGTATATACACATACATATATATATGCGAACACATGCACACATATAAATATACAACATATATGTAAACACATATATATATATACACATATACATACACATTTGCATACACATATATACCCACAAACATATACATGTATACATATATATACATGTACATATACACATATATACACATACATACATATACATACATAAAAGAAATGTTAGGATGTATTGCGCATATTCAAAAAATTATTTGAAGCATCACGGTAAATATTGCAAAGAGAAGCCGAATCAAATCGTTTGTTAATAGCAGGTAATATTTGTATGAAGATACTCTCAGCGAACTTTCTGCGTAAAGTGTTGACTTCTCGATGAATAACTCTTGGATTGGTGAAATTAAAAGAATGTTCAAATTTGAAGACATGTTCGGTGATCATGGTTTTATTTTGTTTCCTGTTCAAACTATTAAGTTCGTGTTGGCGCATTCTTTTTGAGAGAAATTGTGAAGTTTCTCCAACATAACAGCTTGAACAATCATTACGATGACGTTTGACGTGCGGGAAATAGGGGTAAGAGTTTTTAAATTAGTGTATAAGTCTGTGAGAGTGTGTCCAGTCGAACACACTAGCTTCAGACCAACGGATAAAAAAGTTTTTTCCATGAGTGGAAAAGGTAGTCAATGTACGGTAATGAGATGAAGGAATTGAAAGATAGTGAATTTTCAGGAACAGGGTTAAGGTTTTGTGAAATGATACTATTTTGTTGTGATTGGGAGGTAAATAAGAAAGATGTACGGAATTTATTACGAAGAAAGTGTAATCTATTATTTATTACTGAGCGTAAAAGTTGTAGTGGATAGGAATTATTTTGAAGGGTAGAATATATCAAATTAATATTTTTTTGAAATTGATGATAGATGAGAAAGAAGGATGGCATGATCTAGTTAGTTGATGATGGATGCAATCTTAGTAGATTTGGGGTGATAGGAATAGTAGTTTAAATAACGTCCAGACCAAGTGGATTTTTGATACCAACATGTAGTGATGGAGTCGTTATTTATAAAAAGGGTAATATCTAAAAAATTAATGGAGTTGTTAAGTTGAGTCTCTACGGTAAAACAAAGGTGTGTGTCGAAATTATTAAAAGAATTTAGGAAATTGGTTATGTTATAAGTAGGAATGCAAGTTAAAATGTCGTCAACGTAACGTTTGTAAAAAAGAGGTACATAAGACAAGGTATTGAGAGTAGAGTTCTCTAGGAACTGCATACAAAGTTCAGCAAGTGGGGCACTCAAACTGGAACCCATTGGAGTGCCAAATTTTTGTTGAAAGAATGAGTCGTTGAACGTAAAATAAGTATTGGAAATAATGAATTTAATACATTTCAGGAACCAAGAAAAATTGAAATCTGTGTGTTTGCTGATATCAACACATTTATGGTCTATGGCAGAGAGGATAAGGTCAGGTGAAATATTAGTGAAGAGAGAAACAACATCTAAACTTATAAAGGAAAAATCAGATGGTACATTGAGGGAGTTAAGTTTGGGAATGAGTTCGAAAGAATTTTTGACAAAATGGGGAGAATTATGAGTGATATTGGATAAAATTGAACTAATAAATTTGGATAATTTGCAAAGAGGAGAATTTAAGTCAGCAACTATTGGTCGAAGAGGAAAACCATCTTTGTGGATTTTCGGAAGACAATAAAGTTTTGGGGAAATGGGATTGTAGGTTTTTAATTGTAGAGAGAGAGGTTTGGGAATTTGTTTGTTTTCTATGAGTGAATCAATGAATTTCAAAGTATTCCGATTTATAAAGTCGGTGAGATCTGAATTTATAGGTTCGTAAATGTTTACATCAGATAGGAGGGGCATGGATTTGTAAATATAGTCAACTTTGTTCATGATAACCGTGATGTTACCCTTATCTGCCCTGGTAACAACAATTTCTGGGTGTTGTTTGATAAAGGATTTGCAAAAGTGGATGTCTTTGAGTAATTCTTTATGTTGATGAATGTTAGAAATGTCAAATTTGAAAAATGAATTAAGTTGGTTGCAAAAAATAGATTTATTACGGTTTTTTTCATTGATATCTTTTAAATTACGTAAACTATATTCTATAGAGCTAAGTGTTTTGACAAAATTAAACGATTTTTTCTGTTGTGGAATGGAAAATTTAGGACCTAGTGCTAAAATGTTCAAAACATTAGATGGGATGTCTAAATCGAAAATGTTTTTTACCCATTTATTGTTGATATCAGGGTTTATATTTATTTTGGATTCGTTTGCCTTTTACGAATAAAGAGTATTGAATTTTTTTATGAAGGATTTTTTTGACATATTAAAAGATTTATTGAATCTAGAGTTTTCGAAATCTAAAAAATTGTTAATGTCAATGTGATTATTAATAGTGGAAAATAAGGATTGGATGTTATAATTTAAAGATTTATTTATGTTATCAATAGAGGTAATGCAATGTTTGATTTCTAGATTCAGCAACATAAAGGGAAGGAAATTTTTTATTTTTGAAATAATTGAAATTTAGATGATCAAAGTTTGTTAATATGAAATCAAAGGATTTTGGTAGGAGTCTTTCTTTGCGACAACGAAGTAAAAAAGTTCTTTTGTTGGTGACGATAGCCAGTTTTGAGAAAAGATTTAAAATAGTTTTAAATACAATGAGTTTGGTAGGTCCATAGCAATGGAAAATGTACTCGAAAAAAGATGGAAAAGAGTAAGGAATGCATTGTGTAAAACTGTTATGAAAATAATTGTTATAACGGTAAATTGACGAATTATTGAAATTATTATAATTCTGTGTGTAAGTTGATATTGATAAGAGGAACGATTATTATGTCTTACCTTATTTGTATGGAGAGCACTATTTACATATATAGTAGTGAAATTATAGTTATTTTGAAAATTCATGTTGTTAAAAATTAAAAAACACGAATAATTCACCAAAGAATATATTCAGTTGTTGACCCACTCCTAGCAGACAAACAGTATGGTTTTTGCAAAGGACGATCAACTATCGATGCTATAAACTTGATAGTTAATACTGCCAAGGAAGCAATTGCTGGGACCAGATAGAAGGGTGGTGCAAAGAAGTACTGTCTAGTAGCTACATTGAATATCAAAATTGCGTTCAATTCCGCAAACTTGGATTGCATTATGAATGCAATCCGTGACAAGAACCTCTGAGCTATAGTCGCAAACAACTTTACGGACAGGATTCTGATGTACGATTTATGCGATGGTAAGAAGAATATAATATAACAGAAGGTGTGCCGCAAAAATCTACCTCGCTTCTGTGGAATATTATGTATGATGGCCTTTTGAGACTGGAATGCGGCATGCTCCAAACTAGTAGTATATGCAGATGATGTAGCCATAGTAGTTGTTTCCAAACCAAATGATGATCGTAAGTCTATTTGACATAACCTTGAGAAAAATTAGTCGTCGGATGGGAACAAAGAACCTCCAATTGGCACAAGAAAAAAGTGAAATTGCTCTTATTACGAGTAGAAAATAGACACCATCAAGCTGAAAATAGGAAATCTAGAGATCACGTCAAAACCTCACATCTGTTACTTTAGCGTAATGCTTGATGCTCGATTAAATTTTAATCAACAGGTGGAACACGTTGGTGCTAAGGCGGTCAGTAGTTAGGACGGTTCTTGCTCGACTGATGCCTAATGTTGGAGGCTCAAAACAAACCATGAAGATATTACTAACATCAGTGGTTACTTCGGTGCCTACATATGGTATCTTTATATGGGCCAATGCCCTCAAAACTCAAAAATCACGGAGAATGGCAGAACCTGTATATCGTCTGAGTGCTTTATGAGTTGCTTGCTCATTTCGCACAATATCGTAGGAAGCAGTGTGCGTCATTTCAGGAACTCTGCCTCTCTTAGTCTTAGCAGAAAAAAGACGGACAATTTACTAACGAAGATATCAACAACTGTGTCCTAAAAAGTTGAGAATAGAAGAACAGCAGAACAGCATCAACCGATGGCAGTATCTGTGGGTTATCGCAGTGAAGGGCAGATGGACGCATCGTCTCATTCCAAACATCAAAGTATGACTAAATCGCATGCATGAAGAAGTTTATTATTGCACTATGCAAATGCTGTATCTACACCGCTTCGAGCACGATAGCTCGCCAGATTGCCCATATTGTTTGGGCAAAATCGAAAATGCTGAGAACGTGTTCTTCGTGTGCCCGCGATTTAGTGCTCTACAGAACAATGTAGAAGAAATATTGAGCCAAAGAATTACTTCAGATACTATTGTAGAAGTGATTCTGACAACTGTTGCTGCTTAGAACCCATAAACAGATTTCCGAGAAATTTGCTAATTGACCGGCGTTATGGAAAGAGAAAGTAACAATTGCCTAAATTAATCAATTATCACATTTAGTTTAGCACCAAAGAGCAAAACAATGAATTCATGATAGTATTACTGAAAGAATGAAGTGAACGAGTAGTTGACAACCAATTTCATTGTTAAACCTAAAAAGTTGATGATAACAACTATGCTCGCCTACGGAAAAGGAAACCCTGCAAACATTTGCAAAATGTTTTACCTAATTCATCATACAACTTTATCAATTTCGTTTTAGCAGACTCAATAAATTTCAATATATAACATAATATTTAGCAGAATTTTTATTTTTTACAATAAATAGTAAAACATTTTTTATAAAATGCTGAATATAAAATATTAACAAATAACTAAAATTAACATAAATATATAAACTACATTAGTAAATAATTAAAAGTCAAGTTATACATGGTTTATGAAAAATCATTCATCGGAATTGGTGCATTCAATATTTAGCTCTGGTTCGACAGACGAGAAATCTGCAAGGAGAAGAAAATTATTCAAATGACAGAAAATAGATAATGTTTTGCATCAAATAATATTATAATAATCACTATAATGTGATGTGAGTAAGAATATTGTTTAAATTTAAACGCTTAGATAAAAAAGTATAAACGCAACAATACCACATTCTTTTCATATAAACTCATACATTTATCAAAAGATCAATACATAACTATTTTATCACGTTCACTATTGCGCACGCATATGGTGCGTGAAATCATTGTCAGTAGCCAGGCACCGAACGCTGCAGGTGCGTTCGTAGAAATCAATTACACCGCTTTTTTTAATTAATAATTTTAAATTGTTGTTGATCAACTTAATTTTTTTCACTTATCGAGAAAGTATATTAATAATCCACCCTAACCTTCTATCGACCCGCGTAATTTTCAGATCATATTCGAAATTTGTGAATATTTTAACACATAATTATGTCTTTTTTCGTGAGATGACTCATAAATCTTGATTCTATAAAGACTTCAAGACAACTAATGTCAATATAATTATGACCTTTACTGAACTTTTTAGCCCGAATTAGCATTGCACAGAAGGCACAGAGTAAGTACGACATTGTCGACATTAAATGTTGTATCAAGTCACAGAGAGAGTCACATAATTCACCAATACGATTTTTTGTTTTGTTTTTAATAAGCACTAATATGCTTATTATTACATTTTTTTTGTTTCCCTTTGTTTTATGTAAATTAAAAATTAGGCCCATAGAGAGTTGAATGTAATATAATTCCACTATTTTTGGAAAACTTATAAATAAAAAAAAGTAAATTAGTTCAAGCTTAAATAGATTTTGATAAAAAAAAATTAGTTGAGACGTCTTTCACATATTTTCGGCCCAAAAAATCAACCTATTAAAACCACCGGTCATATTTTTTAATTTAGAATGTATCATTCATGTTATAGTTGTTTCGTACTTATCACTAAACCATACCAAGTTGTTTCCGACTCTGCTTTCTGCCTTGATTTTTCCTAGGGTTTCTGGTTCTCTTGGGTGTTCTTGAAGGAGTGAGTAAGACTGCCCCATCTTCGGAACCCAATAAAGACTGGCGATAATAATTATAAGCATCCCATTGGGGTGCTTTAGGTGCATCGTTTGGAAGACTACGTCCCAATGCCTGTTTCAAATTTTGGAATCTGAAACCAATATACGATGATGATGGCGACATTTTGCAAATTAAACATGTTTAGTGTTTTTATAGATGAATGTATTACATATTAATAAACAAATTTCTAGTTTCTGACGCCAATTGAATTATGCATATTTTTAGTGCATACAATAGATTTAACTACTTGACTGATTTTTATATAATCGTGTTCAGTAGGATTGAAAATCGGACTAAGAGGTATTTTTATTGTTCCTAAGAGGTAAGAGTTTACCACTTAACATTTTCTGCATTTTTTGGAACATTTTTTTTTAAGCGCAATTAACAAAACACATACAACCCAAAATTTTCGCCCTTCACAAGCTCCTAATCTCTTAATAGTCATTATGGTTGATTGATTAATTTGATTTGATTTTTCATAATGCTAATAGAAATATATTGTAATAGTTATAATTATTACAATATATTTCTATTAGCATTATAAAAAATCAACTCAAATGCCGTACGGGAGTATTAAGTATACTTAATAAGTATTCATCCCGTAAGGCAACTGATCAGTTATCGCCTGCTTTGTAAACATGTCCATTAAATTTTTCTGAGCTTATAAGCTATTTACGATTTAAACTAAATTATCTAATAAAACTACGTGGTACTAATTACAAGCATCACTGAAGTTTCCTTTGACTTAAAAATTTATATTTGTATTGTCTGATCCAATATCTCATGCAATTATACGAATAATAAACTAGTTGGTATTGGTATTTTGCCTTGAGGCAAGTTACATGAACTTCTCGATATGTGTAAATAATCAACTTAATCAATAAAAAATAAATCAATTTATGAGTGATTAAAAGTATTACACTTTAACTCGAAGTATTTTTCAGAAGCAAATTTTCAAAAATCAATAATTTTTATAATTGAACCAGTTTCCGTAGGACTTTAGCAGTTTAGTATGTTCATTAAGACCAAGTACTCTATCGTTATACCAAGTAAATCGTCTAATTTTAATATTAACAAACATCAAAAAAACTACTCATTTTCTCAAACTTTGATGAATTTTTAAAACTAAACCACTTCTATAATTCTATAAGACCATGATATATAACGCCAAAAAAAATTTCGTAAAAATCCTTAACTTTTTTCAACAGTTTATTACAAGAAAACGGCTCGGTAGATTTTCACCTAAAACGTATGATTCCCAACTAATATCTTTCGAACAGTTTTTTAATTTTTTAAATCGATTCGGTAGTATGAGCTTAAATGTGGACGAAAAATTTACCACCTTTTTCCAAATTACCAAGAAACGGCTCGGTCGATCGTCACAAAACTGAGAAACGCTAGTCCTCATCGAGATATATCGAATGGCTTTTAAATTTTTGAAATTGGTTCAGCCGTTGATTTACGACAAAAAGTCTATTTACATACACACACACATACTTTCCAAAGGTCTCATTCGATTAAGAATGGCTTGAAACGTCGAGAAAACATAAAATTAGCGTATCGAATTTTTTGTTAAAAACATAAACTTCTCCTTCAGGATGTTAATATAAAATAAATTATGCTCTCTTTGAAAAAATCCAGTTTATTGAATCAATGATTAGCCATTGGGCAGTGTAATGCTCTTCAATAAAATGTCATCACTTTATGTACGTAAAATTAATTTATGCGCTTTATATTTTCAAACAACTCATGGAGCAGAATACCATGATCCTAAATATGTTAACTATACTGGTAAAAATAAAATGGAAAGTTTTAAGTGCATAGCTGAGTAAAATGCCAACGGCACTCTAAACACATGATACCAGTTGGTGATTAGTTAGTAATTAGTTGGTGGTCATTTGTACGAATTTGTCTGATGTCTAGAAAGCTAAAGAGATAATAAATTCGATTAGCGATTCGGTACCAGAAAACTAGCTGCGGACGATACATAAATTACCACTCATACCACCCCTTTAAATGAAAATGTAAACAATGTTAAATTTAACAGACCACACGCCATTCCACTATCTAATATAATATTCTGAGAAGCCAACATTTTAACCTGGTAATAAGCACACTGAAAAATAACTCTTACCCTATATAAACATAATTAACTCAGTAATAAATAACATACAGAATTACCTTTTCAACAAACAAAACGACCTCACCGACCATGAAAACCGTTTGAATCTCGAGTCATATGCTGGTATTATTTGTTTACCGTATGTAAAAGAATTGCATTTTTCGTGCAGAATGCTGTTTTAGCAATGTGGCCTTTTGTTGGCGTGTATTTTCAATATAACCCTTAGTTCCATTTTCACACAAATTAAATCTAAGTTTAATTCTGACCGCCTCAGGACCTTAGTATATCAGATTAATTGCTCTAATTGCGAACTTTTTTATATCGGAGAAATAAGCCAAAACTTGAGTATACGCTTTCATCAACCTAAAAATAACTAAAAAAATACTAAACAATTCAAGACATTCTTAACCGAACATATAAATAATTTAAATCATAGTATAGATTTTTTTCACCCAAAAATTTTACATTTTGAATAGAACGAAATTAAAAGAAGATATGCTGAGGGTTTGTTTTGCAATTGCATAACAACAGGGTCATAAACAAATGATTTGACAACATGGTCCAGAACAAAACAAACACGTGCTTCTTAAATAGCGTGTCAAAATTTCTTGAAAAATGACAAAAACTCACCGCTTTTTACATTTCTCGTAAAATTTGAACATATGTTAACAACTGCTTTGAAAAAATGTGATATTTCTATCTTAGACTCCGAATAGTCAATACATAGTTTCGACAACTTATTAAAAGTTATTGATGTTTATTTGTGTATTTTACCATGTTAATTTATAGAATTTCGGGTTTTGAAAAAATCAGATTAAATTCGTTTGGGGATTTTTGGTTCGAATATACCTGAATTCAGGATTAATCCATTAAATGAAATGTTCGCTTTTACAAAAAGGAATTAAGGTAAACGTACACTATTCCGGGATAGTACATTATTACGGGAGTTTTTCATTTTGATCGCAAAATAAGAAAACAGTCGGTGAATAATAATTTTAAACAATACCACATAAACTATAATTCGAATCTCATCAAATAAGCACGATTTTCCATTTTAAATATTAGTTTTTAAAACCATATAGAGCTTCTGAACGCATCAGTCATAACCCGATCGCCATTACGTACAGTCCTGTTGTTAGTTAGGTTAATGTGACGCTACAATTGCTTAAGATTTTTATGTGACACTGGTAAGCTTATTCAATATAAATTTGTGATATTATTGTTAAGAATTAATAAGTGATAAGTTTTATAGTTAAATCGAGCTAATATGTTTTAAGAAAGTGTCAATTTTGTGACTCCCGTAATTAAGTTCACACAATTGAGGCATTGAACGTAATTCCGTGAGTGTCACGCAATTAGGAAAAGTAGACCTGAATTATTGTAGTCTTTTATTCTCAATTATGCTTAAATTTAGTGGTGTTTTTGGTGTTACTAAGTTTGGTAATGACCACAGAATATTGTGACCTAATTACGGTATATGTTTTTTTTTTTATTTTTAACCCTAATAATTGAGTTTGAAATTACTACTCTTTAGCAAGAAAATATATGATTTTTTTACTTATTTCCATTATTCCCATATACATAAAATATGGTAGTAATGAGATAATCAGATGTTTCTTTTATTTCATCTACGTTAAATCATTTGTGTAATGTCAAAGCTTATAGAAATAGGGCAAAACCCGTAGTGCACTTGTTTTCTATCAATGACGCACGATATTTATAGAGCACGAATCACTAGTGTGCGGGTATGTGTGTATGTAAGCAGCGAATTAGGGACATATTCGTAAATACGGTAGTTAAATACGGTGTAAATGTATGCTTCGAGCGCTATCACGGAATAGTGTACAACGACTCCCGGCATTAAGTTCATGAACCGAATTTTATCACGGAATTAGAGACAAACGCGTGGTTCACCAAAATGCCGATTATTTCTATAAATGACGTTCTACGACGAAAAATCTTGTTTTATAATAATCTCAAAGGTCTAATTAATAAAATATAACAGATTTAGTTCGTCCACTTTCCTATTTTCTCTAAAATTCGTCTTTAAAGTCAAACGTTTCTTAACATCCCGTAATATGGTACGTTTACCTTACTGCATTATTGAAGGCATTATTGACATACATTTAATATAAGATTTAGATTTTTTGTTCGACGTTGAGACATATTTCTTGAATGTTAATATTTGCAGCCAATCGTTGAAATAAAAAAAACAATAAATAATGAACTATTTATTTATACGTTTCGGCACGGCCCGTGTGTCATCATTCAGTAATTTTTTTTAAATATTTATACAGTATAACACCAGGAAAAATATACACAAAAATTGGAACTAACATTATTGAAAAATAAAACATTATAAATTAAGTAAAAAAAAATATTATGTTTTATTTTTCAATAATGTTTGTTTCAATTTTTGTGATTGTTTTTCCTGGTGTTATACTGTATAAATATTTTAAAAAAATTACTGAATGGTGACACACCGTGTCGAAACGTACAAATAAATACTTCATTATTTATTGTTCTTAGAATAAATATTATTCATGCTTATTTGTATGGTTACTTGTAATATCTGAATATATATTTTGCAATAGTGCACTTTTCAAGTAATTTTAGATTAGTTTATTATTATTATTATTTTTATTCTTGAACTATTTCAAATGGTTTACTTAGATAAAGTATTATTCTTGACTGTATAATCAACCGAATAAAAGCAAGGATGTTATCTGAAACGCATAGATTTATATAAATATAAATTTTCAAATATAAATAAATATTAAATATTATGCACAAATAAATATAAAATTTCACCTACATATTTTTACCTACGTGATTTTGAAAATATATTTTTGTATTTTACGAAAAAAGGTATCGTTTCGAGTCATTTTATGACTATGGTCTCATAAAATTGGCAAAATATTCAGGTAAAATCTGGTTGCTCCGCTCTCCGCCAGAACTGCGGACATCATTTTAGCCGCCTGAACTATTAATTTTTATCATTTTACTACGGATCTACATAAAAATCTTCAAGCCAAGTGCTAATGATTCTTTTGTACTGTTAATTTTTTTATAATGCTTGTTGAAACATATAATAGGCGATGTCTTGCGAATTCGAAAATATTGCTCATGACATCATGTTTCATCTCTATTTTGTATCTGCCTCTTGCTCATTCCATAATAAATCTTCTGGTTGCTTCGATAATAAACTTCCTAATGGATGTCTTCCTTTAAGGTCGGCAACGATAGGTCTGAAGGGAATATTATGTTTGTGTATTTTGGGGAGGCCGTAGAGTTTGGGGTTGTAAGGATGTAGGTTTTTAAGTGTGAGTGAAACTTGTGGAGAAATTTGTTTGTTAGAGACTAAGTTATTAACAAATTTGTGTAAGGATCGGTTAATGCGATCGGTGGAATCTGAGTTTATGGGAGAATAAGTTTTTTTGTCTGAAACTAACTCTGAAATGTAGGTGGCCTTGTCTAAAATTACCGTGATGTTTTCCTTATCAGATTACAATGTTAGGATTTTCTTTAATGAATAACTTGCAAGCTTTAATATCTATGAGGAGTTGAAGGATTTGATAAAAGAGAGGAAATTTTTGCCAAAAGATGAGCGGGTATTAGTTTTAATTTCCGGATTTTTAATATTGTGTAGGCTTGACTCTAAGCTACTGAGCACTTTAATAAAATTCAGATTATGGCAATTGTTAGGGATGGCAAAGTTTGGACCTAGCGCAAAAATGTAGAGTAATCTTTCTGGTATATGAATATTAGATAGATTTTTTAACCATTTATTAATGAGTGTTTCGTTAAGGGTAATTTTTGTCGAGTGAATTTTGGATTGGTAAAGTTTGTTAAATTTATTAATGTAGGAGGTTTTTGATTTGTTATAAGCCTTATTAATACGAATCGATTCAAATTCAAAAAAAATTTCTAGAATCTCAGTTTCAACAGTGAAAGCTAACCAAGAGTAAGTTTTATCGATGGTGAGTCTCAGGTTATTGATATTACAAATGCAATTTTTTATTTCTAGTGAGAGAATATGTAGACTAAGTGAAGAAAACTTGTTATTAAGCGAATTGTTCAGATGAGAAAATTTTGCAAAGTTAAGACGATAAAATTTTGGTATGATACCTTCTTTTCTGCATCTAAGGAGGAAAATCTGTTTATTGATTTCAGAAGATAGTTTAAAATTTAATTTTGCTATTAGCTTAAACTGTGATGACTGTCAAAAATCTCTAAAAACATGTGTGTCGTCCAAATAAGCCTCGGAACACGCACAGTACAGAAGTCGTTGGCAGAAATTACTTAACTTTATTCACATTTTTGTTCAAATAAAACAATCATTTTTCTGTTTACATCATACAAAAAATTATAAAAAAATCATGGTGTTGACAAGTTAGTTGTATAAAAGTTAGTGCTAATTTCTAGTGTTGTGTACACTTCTCTAGATTTAACCTACCAACGTTAATGTAAGTTACTTATATTTTATATGTATTATCCATCTTCATAATTATTTTGTTTGCTTTACAAATATACGAGATTGCATATATATATATATATATATATATATATATATATATATATGTATATGTTTATATATGCGTGCATATATGTTTATTTATATATGTATATGTGAGCATGTATGTGCACATGTATATATATATATATATATATATATATATATATATATATACATATGTATTGTGTATGCATATGTATGTATATTTGTATATTTGTATGTATATATATATTTGTATATGTATATATGTATGTGAATATAATTATGTATATATATGTGTACGTATATATATGTATATGTATGTATATATGTGTATATGTATATGTATATGGGTACGTGTATAGCTATATTTACATAGATAGATATGAGTATATGTATTTTTCATACATGTACATGTACGTCGTGAATAAGCATGCAAGTTGCATATACATATATATATATATATATATATATATATATATATATATATATAAATAAGTCGATCACGAACCGATTTCGACAATTTTGCATTCGTTGGAAAGGTCTCGGGCTCCGCAAGGTTTATAGCTAAGAAAATTAGTGGTGCATGGCATCGTGCCCTAATGCAAATTGCTGGAACTTCACGCACCGTAATTAAAAATTCGAGAAATGAAAATAATCAACAATTGTTTTAAATAATTTCAAATAGATTATCTTCTATATATATAAAAATAAGTCGGGTTTCCTTCCTGACGAAATAACTCCAGAATGTTTCATTGAACTTTCATTTACTTAGAGAAGTTCAACTAAGAAACACTTCATTTTTGTAATCGTAATAAATTCGTTACTGTTGTATATTAAAATAAAATTTTTCCTTTTCAAATATAAAACAAACAAAAAATTTCTTCATCTTTCTCACGAAACCATCTGGTGGCAAAACGGAGTTCGTCGGGTTTGCTAGTATATATATATATATTAGGGTGGTCCTTAACAAGAACATTTTCGAATTTCTTTGCTCCCACGGGCGCAAAAGCTTCCAAATCAATAAAAAATGATTCTCTAATAGTATTATATCTTTATATAAACATTTAGATAGAGCGCACAATAATTTTTATATACAGTAAGTTTCATATATTTATTTCTAAAATGTGACATGAACTAAATTCGTGCGCCATCTGGCGCTTCACTCAAATATTATGATACATAAGAATATTTATTAACCTAAAATAATAAATATCTATTCATCATGGAATCAAGGTTAATTTTGCAGCAAAATATTTATTTAATTGGTGATATTAAGACTCAAATTATTATCTAGATTCGATGATGAATAGATATTATAGAACAGCCCACGTGGATTTAAGGGTTTATAAATATTATTATGTATCACAATATTTGAGTGACGCGACAGATGGCGCACGAATTTAGTTCATGTCACATTTTATAAATAAATATATGAAACTTACTGTATATAAAAATTATTGTGCGCTCTATCTAAATGTTTATATAAAGATATAATACTATTAGAGAATCATTTTTTATTGATTTGGAAGCTTTTGCGCCCGTGGGAGCAAAGAAATTCGAAAATGTTCTTGTTAAGGACCACCCTAATATATATATATATATATATATGTGTGTATATATATATATATATATATATATATTCAATAGATAAGTCCTGGATTTTTTCCTGGATATATATATATGTTTGCATGTATGTATGCATGTATGTATATATATATATATATATATATATATACATACATATATATACATACATATATATGTGTGTATGTATATATGTATATGTATATATGTATATGTGTATATATATGTATAGGCGTAGGTTTATATGAATATGTATATATGTATACTTATATAGTTATACCTATATTATTTGTCTTTTTTTATTTATTTAATATCTAGAAAGAAAAGGTAATAGAGAACCTTTTCTATCTTTTATATTTAATAGAGAACCTTTTCTATCTTTTATATTTGTTTGTTGTAAGTGTTGCTGTTTTGTTAATTTTCCTCTTATATTTATAGTTTATTATACCAATCCACATATATTATAATTACCTAGATATACTAATTTTTCATACTGTTTTTAGATCCATTGATGATGACATTAAATTGAATGTCGAAACGTTTGGAATTAAAGATTAATTTATAAATCTTTGCTTTTTATTCTTTGATGTATCGCCCACAGACTTACTCATATATAATATAATATATAATATATATATATATTAATATATTATATATATATAATATATATATATATTTATATATATATATATAATATTATTCAGACTCTTCAGTCAAGTTTATACTCACATACTTTTTTATCCGGCGCCAAAAGTTTGCCTGAAAATTCACTCAATATTTCTAAAAACGGCAACCGAATAGGAGGCTCTTTGTTGTTTCCAATTTTATCAACTGCAAACAAAATTCCAGCCTTGTGCAGCTCCAAAATTGCATCGCGATTTTTTGTTTTGTCAAGCCCCAACATTAGCGATAGATATCTGGCCAAAGTCTGAGTATAAAGAAAAGATTAGAAATATGATTATCTTACTTCGAGTAGTCATATAAAATTGTATACTCTGTAAATCATGCAAAAAATCAAACTAGAGTAGCTAGAGTCAACTTAAAAAAGGAGGTTTCATTTGAGAGGTTTAAAAATCATAATTTTTAATAGCTATCAGAAAACTTAAACAATATATCCCAAAGCTTAATGCCAAGTCGAAACGGGGGGTATAACATATATCGCAATTATATATAAAAATACACGTAGTTAGAATATTATGAGCTTTTAGGTGCAACCCAAGTCTTTAAAATAAACTGTGACCATTTTTTTGTTATTGTCGTTAATTTTCGTTATTTTTGTTAGTTTAAAGTTTGGTATGACGAGCAAGTTCCATCAATAGTTGGTGCATTTAATCAAGGTTAAATTTTAAAAAATTAATAGTAGAGAATAATAGACCCATAATAAAAAAATTCGAGAGTAAAAAATGAAAACCTAAAAATAACAGAAAACTTGCTAGTAGAGAATAATAGACCCATAATAAAAAAATTCGAGTAAAAAATGAAAACCTAAAAATAACAGAAAACTTGCTAGTGGAGCTAGTGGGGAAAATATGGAGCAAATTGTATATATGAGCAAAATGACACAATGGTCAATCACAATCCTGTCTGATCTTGAGCGTCATTGCCACAGTTCAGTCACAGTAATCAGTTCAAACGTCGAGCTTTCAGCCTTCAAGCCTTTAATTTTGAGGGTGGTTTTCTCATATTTTTGCGACTTATTTATTGTTATTTGTAATTTTTATATTAAATTAACGAACTTATCCATAAATAATCGAATTAATCAATAAAAATTCAATTTATTAATTTATGAGTGATTTATAAGTATGCCGAGATGCTGTAGGTCTTCATAATGTGAGTAACTATTGCAGATTATTCAATTCTGTACAAGAAGTTCTTATTAGACATTATTGAAAATTGAACACGCGCCTAATTCAGTTAGGAGTATGTTATGAATTTTACAAAAGATTCTTTGAATTCATTTTTATAATTGAAGCATGATCAGCAGTTACTCTATCGCTGCATCAAGTATCATTAAAATCGAGAATTTTTTTGAAAAAAATCAATATTTTTCAAATAACATTTAAATTTTCAAAATCAGTTCAGAATTCTTTGCTGAAACGTATCAATGATGCTGATCGTATCCAAACTTTTAAAGAAACTAACCAACGCTCACCAAGATTAATCAGTTCAGCCGTTTTTGAGAAAACGTCAGAGAAATATTTAATTTCTTTTAAATTCGTTTAAAATTAAAAGAATTGTCGTTGGACCGTAAAATTTTAGTATGTTTTATATAAACATGATATCTAATCATCTATCGCCAAAAAATGTTTCATAAATTTCGCCGACAGCTATTTATAAGAAAACAGTCCTATCGACCTTTACTAACAACTAATCAGCATCGATATCTTGCAAACAGTTTTTAAATTTGTTTATTTGTTAATATCGGTTCAGGATTGTAAGCTAATACTTGGACGAAAAATTTTACACTTTTTTGCTTGTTACAAATTAGCAAAAAAAGAGGTAATAATTATAAACCCTAGTCCTCATCGAAATATATCAAATGGCATTTAAATTTTTGAAATCTGTAATGCCGTTTTTGGGAAACGTCGATGCAATGTCAAAAATTGACACACATACACTTACACACACATATTTTGCAACTTGGTTTCATTCAAACTTATCCTTCCAGGAAGATAAGAATAAAAACTCCGCGTCGCTTTATGAAGTTTGTTAGCATAAATATTATATACTAGCTGACCCGGCAAACGTTATTTTGCTAAGAAGGTATACTCTAAACAATTTCTAGAGAATCAAAAAATTTCATACTTTAAGTGTATAAGGATGTGTTGTTTGAATGTTATAAACCCCATTAGTTTGTCTATATTTTATCAATACAATCAAACTGGAAGTTTTATACACTTTCTATAGAAAACATGGTATAATCCAATCCAAGTCATTTTTGGTCTTTCGACTTATATAGTAATTACAAATTCCATTTAATCGATTATTGATTACGTTTCAAGTTTTTCAGATTCTTTTTTGATTCAGGATTTCGCGTATAATTGTAAATAATACAACAACTGAGCTTATACAAAATTTTCAAATTTATGCGAGGAGAGAAAAGAGATAGAAAATGAATTGAGTATTTCTTTTTTGACCTGCTTTTTGAAAAGTTTCAAGTAACATTCAATGAATTCAAGTAAATTTAATAAAAAGTATATATGTAGCGCAGGGCAAGGCACAAAGGTCCAATTTGACTTTGAGCAAATATAAACTATATTATGAAAAGCAAACCAATTATATCACAACAAATAACACATTTCAAACGAAAAATTATCTGACTACGTTCAGTAAAACTGCTAGCTACTTCATCATTGTAGAAATGTGCTTTTTTCTGTCTTTAAAAAAATTGTTGTCTAGACCTTTTTACCCCATAGACAGGGTAACTTGGAAAGGCCAAGTGGCGAACAGGTTTAATGTCTTTTTTTAATTTTAAAGGTATTTTACAAAATAATTACACTTTTAACTAATGCTAAAAAAAACTACCATCGGAAGAAAATACTTTTATTATGGATTTTCAAAGATTACAGTTTATCTCCAGATAAACAAAGTCATAAGAATCAAGGTTATAACTGGTTATACATCTTTTTCCCTCTACTTTTCAATTCTTTGTTAAACAATGCTTAACTTTACTGGTTTTTGACACATCGCTGGTGGACCTTTTTAACCTCGGACCTTCATATATTACTATCTATTCTTCGATAAATTCTGCAAAATTATAACTGGGAAAATGTTATTCGGCAAAATGTTACTTTGATCGATACCAAATTTAGGTTTTGAATTTAAATAACATAAATAAAAAATAATATAACATAAAAAATGTTTTATAAATACCAATGAGTATATAATTATACAAATGAGATCTATCAGAGCATCGTAATATGCCAAAATGTGCATTTTCATATTAACATTTCAAAAAGATTGATATTTTGAGTTTTTAGTAACACTTGCGGCCCGTTTACTAACGTTTTTGTATATAAATAAAACTACGAACAAATCTACTTACTACAATTTAATCATAATTAAATAATATTTACGCAGAACATCATATTAAAAGTAATTAAACATCATCTGTCAAAAACGTTTGACATTTCACTAATTAGCCACCGTCCATTGTTTTATTCACGCTTCTATAAAAATTTTCATATTAAAAATGTAAAGTTTCTACGCAATTTTGAAATAATATCTCACTTTTCCGACCACCTACTGATTAGCACAAATTTTTCAAGACTAAGACTGGCCAAATCGGTTTAGCCGTTTTCGAGTTTTACTTGGACATTTGAAAGAGAGCTCCATTTTTATATATAAGATAATATTAATGATTTTATCATTACAAAAATTTATATTATACTGAATTAAGAAAATACATACCTTCAATTCTGCAAATTCTTTAACAGTTCCATCAAGTCGTTTATTATCACCAAGTGTAGTTTGCAAATCCGTATACATTTGTGACAAAGCCAACCACATGGTCAGAGTGCTGTTTATGAGGTTAAGCTGACGCATCCTGGCAACCAAATTCTTTATGATATCGCCATAGCATTTATTACACTATAAAAAATAATAATAATATTTATTCGAACCATCTTCTAAATAAATTATGAAATAAAAGAAATGTATTTACATAATATGAAGTAAACAACATTGATTTTATTTTTAAATCTGTACTGATAACCAAATTTAAACAATAAAAAAGTTGATAAATAATTAAATCGAATAAGAATTTTAAATGTGTGGTGTAAAAATGGTTCGATCACTATTGTACCATTTTACAATTATAATTACTTTACCTTTACATAATACTTTAGAACAAAGGCCGCATGATATCCTGGTATAATATTAAAACCTATAATTTTGCAAAACCGTTCCAAGACTTCACGACGTTTAGATATCTGGCTTGAATCTTTATCATGTCCCTCTAGAATAATTAAAAGCATAAAAATCAGTTACAATTAATATAATTTTGTTTTAATCATTACCTGTCAGATGTTTTGTGAAAACATACTCTTCCGTGAATTGGTTTATTGTTGATATAGTGTCCGAGTCGAGGGTTAAAACCAGATTGTGTACTATGTCGTTTGGATTGGTGCCTAATTCTGGGTTGAAATCCAAGGATAGATCGCAAATTGCAAGCACAGCCTAAAATATAAAAAGTGTTCCTAAAAAGAATAGTACTTAAATAAAAGGTTTGGTAGCGAAAGTAATAGCCGAAGAAAATGAGTCGGTTACAAGTCGAAGGATGAGCGCGGTGCAGTGCGCGAAATGTTTTATAGAATAGATTTTAGATATAATGTAAGCTAAAAGGATGTTATGAGGTGCAGCGCATCAGAATCTGTCCTCAAATTGAAAGTCAAATCAAAAAGATTACCCAAAGGTACAAAAATAAAATTGATGGACACCCCCCCAATGAGCTCGGAGCAAGTCTATATAATGTCACTCATCAAAAAAGGCTGAAGAGGACGGAATTATCACATGATTGCGACACACTGAGAATTGACACATTGATTGCATATCTTCATTGTTTTTCATTACATTCCTTTATTGTTTTTCTTTATCTAAACTGGGATAATTATAGATATATATATATATATATATATATATATATATATATGTTTATATAGTATTTATTATTTAAGTACTACATAGTAATCAGCAATTAGTAACAGAGCATATATCCAGACTAGAAAGAATTACTATTGGGTAATCTTTCTAAATAAACCATATGTTATAACTTACTAAATGTCTTCACTAAGACAGATTGTAATATGAATGGTAAATAAAAAAACTGAAAGTAGACTATTAATTAATATGTGATTAGTGTGTATGGACACGAGAGATATTGATGGACATGATTCTGTACAGATAAGTTTAAAATAAGGAATGTTTAGATTAAGAGTGTAAATATAAAATATTGTTTAATTAAGTCACGAACAATAGCCTACTCATTAGTAGTAGTTGTAATATTTAAATAGTCTTTCAGCAGTATGGAATAAAAGATAAAGGTAAAAGTAAATCAAATAAAACAAATTCAACTAATCCGCAACTAGCAATAAAATAATTCATAACAAATGGTAAAAAAGGGCCGTGTACTACTTTTCGTTGGTTTAACGATCAGATGATTAAATAAGCATAAATTCTTTTAGTAATCATTCTGGTCCACCTACGGCGGTAGTACTTACGATCTCGGCAATAAAATTTTATTGTTTAGTTCATCCGGGGTATTTTTTCTTTCGTCTCATCGGATTATTTGTTATTTATCGACTCTGGTTTTGGATTGTTCACGGAGATTCGGCATTCATTTTTTACGCGTTAGTTTAAATGTATTTTATTTTGTTGAAATATTTGTTACTATAGTAGTGTGTACAAATGATTGTTAGAACACTTAGAACTGTACGTAAGCGAAGATATTTCAAATGTTATTTTGTATATATAAATAGTATTGATTAGAGTTATAGGGTTTATATTAAGAATTATGGGTTTAATGCACGATTGTAAAGGCAATTCGCAAAATGTGCTGGCACGAAAATGAAAAATCGCGTGGTTCGAGTGATTATTAGAGATTTAATTTGTTTATAACGAAATGTTGTTTATAATATTTTTAAAATGCTGAATCTATTTTTTTGTGCACTTCTGATCGTTTTTTCTTCCATTCGCTCGGGTTTCTTTGTTTTTTATCAGGTTTTCAGGAAAGACTCTAGTTCGTCCAAATTAGATAGGTTTTTAATAGGGTTTATACAAAAACCGACATCTTAGAAAACCGGTTTTCGAATTTTAATTTTACTAAAAAACCGGTTTTAACCGGTTTTCGAATTTTATATAGAAAATAAATTTTTACTCGAATATTCTATAATTTATGCGCAAACTTAGTGTGATTTAGAGCAGTATTTGACTGAATTTATTTATTGTGCAATTTTATAGATAGTAAACAAAATTATCTTAATTTTAATTAGTAAAACTGAAAAATAATAGTTTATCTTGATTAAATAACTTTGAAAATAATTATTCGTTATTTATGCATTATTTTCACATATAAAAATGAAAATATATTTATAATAGTGAAAGAAAATTTTTCGAATAAATAAAAATAATACATTTTTCAATAAAAAAAAAATCATTGAATAAAAAAGATAAAAAATATTAAATACATGTTTATACATACTTGTTAATATCAACTTTAGTTTTAAAAACAATTAGGCTAAACTTTCATTTCTGTTCCGAGCAATTTTAATTAATCAATTGTAAACATTCTAATTGTATTCTGCTTAATAAAATATGATTTCAAAAAAATGAGAACGTCTATCGAATTGCTACTTAGACTTGTCATTTGTTTACTCACAAAATTTCTTTAAATAGAAAATATTCTCATACTTGCGACCAAATTATGCTTAATTGTTTTTAAAGCCTGATATAATAATACTAAGTTTTTTGTTCTTTAATTTGTGGCTTCAAGAAGAAGTCACACTGATTTAAATTATTATATACACTGGTATAAAAAAAACTAAATTAATATATAAAAAATCTTACTGGGAACCATTGCAGACTGATAAGATATCAAATGCTATTGAACCGATATGATTTCAAGAATCAAAACGCTTTCATCTATCTTTTATATTTGGCTATATTTGTCATTTTCCATTTATACAGTGAAAACCGACTTTTTTCACTAAAAACCCGGTTTTCGAATTCCATCATTTTCGCTAAAAAACCGGTTTTTGAAACCGGTTTTTGAAAACCGACAAACCCTAGTTTTTAAGTATAATTACAAAGATTTTAAGTTAGAATTAGTAAAACCAGATTACATATTTATTTTGAGTTATACATTTTAGTCTTAGTTATATTTTCGTATACGTTTGTGAGATTCGTTTGTTAAAAGAAAAAAATATTTTTCTTATAATATTGATTAATTTTCATTTACTTTGTAGATTTATTCGATTTCCTTTTTGTATAAAGTTAGACAAAAACTAATTTGTTTTACAAAGAATTTTTATTAATTGTTCAAAAGATTATATTTTAGAGATTTAGTTAAAATATGTATTTACAAAGATATCGCTTTTGTGTGTTTTTTTTTTTGTTGTTTTGAGATTTTGGTAAGTTTCTCGAAGATTTTGTAAAATATCGTATTGCAAGAGTACGCGAACCGTCGTATTTATTTTTATTTTCTAGGTCTTACAATTAGACATTTTAATTGACAGAAACTGCGAGAGAAAATTTGTATGTCGAGAACGCTTTAGTCAAAACAATAGAAAACGTGGAACTGAATTCGAGACGGTCCCGATTTTCGAAGGGTCGAACGTCTGAGATTTGCGACATTAGCCTCACCACGGCCCATGATTCGCTCGGATAGTAACAGCTACATACGTTCAAAAATTATTGTGAACCCCGGCAAAAAAAATGATTCCTACAAATTTTAAAACCTATCATCTTACAACTATCCTAATGTCTAACTTTCTAAAACCCTAAAAAATTATTTATAACTTATAAATTATTGCATTACACAAATGCATATCGCCTGTGATTCATCAATTTTTGAACGCATGTAGCGTTACTATCCGTGCAAATTTCTTTTTCATCTCATAATTTTTGTTGCAAAAACCATTTAAATTGTGGGAAATTATCATTTAGTAGTTAACCACAACCTGAACTGCTTGTACTTAGATTCGGATTTTAAGCTCCTATGTGACAATGTTTTCTGATATGCGTTTAAGTCGACCGAGGCATGTTTGGTAAGGTTTAATTAATTCGGACTTAGCCAACTCGAGTAAATTAAAATCAGACGAGCCCATTGACGTAACGGCAGACTACGATTCATCATGCCTATAGAGAAAATAGGAAAGAAACGAACTTGTAATAATATAGTGAATAGTTTGTTTTGTTTGTTTTCATTCAAATAAAATTTGTATGCTGTTTTTTAAATAATCTTTTTGTTTTCGGCGTAATTGTTTAGTTTTCGTAATAGTTTAATTAATTGAAATTTATTTGTTAGCGCATTAAAGTAAAAGATTAAGAAAAAGCACAAAATAGTAATTTTTAGTTTAAAATCGTTGGTTTCTTTTCTCTTTCATACATTCGTTAATACAGCAAGGATTCCGGCTACACGTATTCGGAAACTAAAGAAGTAATATTTTAGTAAGATTAAATTATTAGTAATTAATTAAGATTAGATAGGGAAAACTGTTAGACATATACATAGATGATATAGATAGATAAATGCGAATCCGATACACAACTATTATTCGGCTAAAGGAGCGTTCAAATGACGTAGGAAGACGAACGGCGAAGAGAAAAATGGGCATGGGGAGATGCTTAATTCTTAAGACAAAGCAATAGGAAAGACAAGGCAATAAGAAAAAGAGTTCGCGTAAGGTTCACATGCAACTGAAGTAAAACTTTTTTGCTATTGTACAAGATTGCATTTAAGTTGAAAATAAATACATATGGTAACACTCGTGATGCACACATTTATTAATGTCAACCATTAATATTATATATTTATATAATAATAAATAATAATAGCATTATTTATAATAGCATTAAAAATATTATTTGTAATTTAGGACTTGAACCTTCATTAGAGAAATGAAGTAATGTCTGATTGATACATTCTATAGTATTCGTTCACACAGTGGACAGATGTAATATAACAATCTTAAGTATTTTCATTAACACTAGCAATAAATAAACTTAATAAATGTCCAATATGAAGTATATCTGTATATAAATAATATATCAAGCTATTGTTGTGCTTGATCTCTTGCTTAGTATAATAAATCTGAATATCAATTATTTCTTATAAAAATATGCAACTTTGTAATACTTTATGTTCAGAATCAGTAAAATAAAATTGGAAGCTTTGACATTATGACATTAGAGTGAGAACAGTGACATATCATTGAAGCTCCAAATTCTTCTAGTTGTAATATGTGTCTTAACGAATGAAAGTCATTCGTAGCATTCCTGATGGTTGCTTTCTACCATTTTTTGACCAAGTTTTTAGAAATAATAACTAATCCATTAATACTGGTAACTATGTAGAATTATTGCAACATATAAAAATATGAGTTTTATTGTATTCATACAATATATCTTAAATCTCGTCAAACATATTACCTTGAGATTTGTGTATTGTAAGTGAACATCGG